CGAGATAATCCATGTCATCAAGTGTACAACATGTAGGCTTGCCGTGAACTGACTACTCACAAGTGAACGTGACCTGCAGCATATTTTCTCGCCAAGTCGACTTGCTAGAATTAGGAAGTCGACTCAATAACATAAATTATCTCGCCATGTTGATATAGGGAGCTCTGGAAGTAGGCTTGATGTCATAAAATATCTCGCGATGTCGACTTACTATACTTAGGAAGTCAACTTAACTACATCATTTATCTCGTTAAATCAACTAAATACGCTTTATAAGTCGACTTACGAAGATAAATTATCTCAGTATCTGAACAAGTCGGATGGCACTCACAGAGCGCCGTAACTTGAATATGCAACCAATTAAATTTTCATGTTCCGCATCATGCGAATAAAAAGTTTAATTGAATCTATCACATATCAACTCACAAGTAAGTTCACAGAAACTTATGAAACAGCTAACAGCAAATGAACCATGAACATGGCATGCTTTTGCTACATGTACGTACTGTGTGAATAGTTTGTGAGATGATTTAAGGCACGGATGAATGAGTGAGTTGTTGTTGTTGGTTTTGTGGTCTTTTTTTTTGGAAGTGTTGCATGGTGAAGTGCAGCATGTAGCAAACAGTTTTCACAGAGTAAGGGCAAGTAGTGAGACCATCAGATATCAGATTTTAACAGACCGATTCATTAAACCAAAAAGTCCCCCGTCCCCCTTCCATTGCTGGTGGTGTGGCGGTTAACAAGGGAGTCGGTCTGTGACTGCACCATGGAATATTTTCCGTGGGAGGAAATGTTGGCTATGAAAAGAGGGGGCAGGGTGAGAAGGGTTTGAAACATTTCCTAGATGAACCTCTGAAGAAAAACAGGGCATACTTTTTGAAAAGTCAAGATAACACGTCGAGAACCACGAGCTCATTTCACAGCCACCACCCCTTCCCGAATAAGGGTTGTACCACGGTGTGACCACACGTAAACCTATCCCTTGTCAACTGCATGACTTGTGGTTGCTATATTTGAAATGGCTACCTCAAGGAGACTCGCAGCCTAAATTGACTCGATTTCCCTCTGTTTCGGGGTCTTGTTCCATTGTTCTGTTTTTGACTGTTTATTGCTCACCTCAAAATCCTGCAGCCCGCTGTACAGCACGACTTCAAACACGTAGTCAAGGTAGAAAGGGAATTCCCCAATGATGGAGCTCTCGGACGGATTCAACTGGCTGGCCCCCGTTGCATCAAGCCAGTTGCGCTCAATGTGGCCCTTGAAGCCAGCCGACACGTCAATATCCACCCGTATGGATAAAGCCACTACACTGGCATTTATAAGGGGGTTGCCTGGCTTATTTTGTAAAGTGATGCGAAACCTACAGAGATAGAGATGACAGTCAAAATATTACAGTCTTTATATGGTGCACAGTTTCTGACAGTATGACGCCATTCAAAAGCACCAATGAATCACTATCCCTCCTCATCCAGCTCTCAACATCTGAACATTCCTGAAACCGTCTCAACTCCCTGGAAAGTAAAAAGCTCATAAGATCAATGCTGCCATTTCGGGCACAAATGATGCAATCCAATAACCACCTCCACCATACCATCACAGGTACATGTACATGTGCACATTTATTATGGGTGGAAAGAGGCACCCAGGCGAATGAGGAACTTGCCCAAGGTAAACACCAATTGTCATCCCTTATCAGGATTCGAACCCTCAAATGACTGTATATGATTGGTAGCTACAAGCAGTGGCATGGCTAAGGGGAGAGGACGGGGGATCACCCCCACCCCAACCCTCCACCCCGAGGTCTGCTTCAGTGACTCAGTGACAGTAACACTCAAACACAGTGGTTGGCATAGATTTCAGTCGGGCATGCATGTGACTCACCAGGTGATGCCCGGGTGCAGATACAACTTGGTGCGGAACTCATTTCCAGGGTACAATCCACTTTCTAGAGTCTCCTCATAGATCTCTTGGCCCATTTCCTCCACATCTGAGGAAGTATATTATAAGACAGCGGGTCCAAATCACAGGACATTGACTAATTTTCTTTGTTAATTGGAGTAGTTGAGGCATTTATGTCAACATGTGAAGACCGAAGGAGAAGCTTGAGCAAGGAAATAAGATTTGCTATAAGCATGCCGACATTACTTTGTGAGGAGTAGACTGTATACCAGTGCAATGATAATTATTAAAATTGGCAACGACCAGCACTCTTGAAACTTGCACAAATTTACTGTCCACCTCCCTGGGTTAATTTGGCTATGAATAAAATCCATCATTCCTAGGATAATCAACTTGGGAGGGAGTGCAATAAATTTGTGCCAGAGTCAAGAACACTGAACACCCATTAGATCATGACAGAAAAAAGGACAGGTGGGTTTACACCCTCGGCAGTACTCCTATACACAGGGGGTTAATACAGGGCCTGTTCATTTCATACGGATCCATCCATTAGACTGGTTTGGGTGTCAATGAACCAATATAATGGTTCACTGATCGCCATTGGGATTCACATGAAACAGACTGGCCCCCATGAATGTGCAGAAATCTGAACATGGATTTCAACTTCCTCTTTCAATTGTGGATGTTTTGGGCATAAATGTTTTTATGAATAACACAGACAACACTGGTAGATTCAGGATTTTTCTTTTCTCGTTTATGGCTTACATGCGAAGTCAACACATACATAAGCTATACAGCTCAGGAAATGAGGTGAGATAGCACGACATTCTTTCAGTTAGAATGTCAACATTTTTCCAGAAAAATATTTCTTTTCCAAAATGTACACCTCATTATCATTGGTCTTTTTTCACTGGTAACCTTTCCCTTCATGACCTTGTATTTGTTTATAAAGTCAGCGTTGCCTGAGAGCTTGTGACAAATTTGCAAGCTTAATGCAGCAAGAAAAAAAGCCACAACCTCCTACTTGCTAGTGTGTCAGGAACCAGCCGTGTATCCAGCTTTTGGTATGGGGGGGCAGGCAAATCCAAAAGTAAATGCGTCTTCTCACTCATTCAACATGATGTTGTGGAGAAAAAAACAAAAGCCTTCCGGTCTTGACATCCTTGCTTTTATTTGCTGATATTGTCTTAGGGATTTGGTGCCAGGATTACCGATTACTTTCTTTACTACCCACCAATTCTTTGTAAAAAAAAATCCAAACAAATTTCCGTCAGTGGGACAATGCCCAAAACATTCATCATAATTCATTTAAGCCTCCTGAGACGGCAAAGCACTGAATATTCATGTTTCCATGAGGCGAATGCTATTATTAATTCATATCCATCACTCTATTGCCGTTTTCAGAGTACATGTGTCATTAGCTGCTATTCAAGGCTGATAATACCCGAATTCTGTTCACAATAAAAGACAAAGAAACCATGCCAAAGTACTGGTTACCTTGATCCAAAATACAGTGGAGTGAAACATCCATTAAAAAGACAAAAGAAAGATATGTTCTTGGTTTTTACCTGTCATGGAAATAAGCTAGTCCAAAAATGACAGATTCTCAGAATAGCACATGATGAAAGCTCATAAATTTGTGAAGGCTCATTACAACAAATTCCCCACTTCTTCAGTAGTGCATGAATAAAGTGTGGGTACAGAACACATCCTGTGCCTAGCTAGTTCGCTGAAATCTTTATTTTCTCCAAGTTACAAAGGACTATATTCAATTACTTTTATGAGCGACTTATTCAGAAAGTGTTTTATGTGTATGCCCCTGACTGAAATCACCCATGCATGGGTGGATCCAGGATTTCTATGTACCCTGGCATTTCTGAGGGTCGAGGCAAAACTTGGGGACTTTTTACATGTTTCATGGATAAAGGAGAATGAAAGAGTCTCACGTTATTTTCTCATCGTATCAAAATATAGGGCTGAGTCAATTTGAATAATTCACTTTCGAATATTTGACCTTCAATTCAATCGAATATCAAAATATTTAATCATACCGACCAGCAGATTGTTCATGAACAAACCATTTACAAAACATTTGCAGTAATGCAATCCAAAAGAAAATTCTCCCTTCCCTTTCATGAATTTTGCATTCAAATATTCAAATTTGGAACAGAATATTCAAACATCCGATAATCAATCAAATATCTGGATATATAGATATTTGGCACAGTCTTATCAAAATAATTGCCATTTGGGGGATGAAATGGTTCTGCTGTTCTCTCCCTCCCCCTTAATTCGACAAAACATCACATTGTCTGAAATATTTGTTGCAGAAAGCAGCTTTTAAAAAGAACTCTCGTCACACTGTGATACACTCATAGCACTGACCTCACATCATGACCTGACCATCCCCTGCACAAGATCTCATGAGAACGACTCAACAGCTTAAATAAAACGATACAAAGAAAGACTTACCATTTGCAGACACAGAAAGCATGCCCCCAAATACCTGGTAAAAGATTGAACATTCAGTGTCAAAATAAACCGAAGAAAAAAAATGATGGTTAGATTAGTCTACTTCTTGGAGCCAGACTTAGGGGTATGGTATACACTGCTGAATATCATTACTTGCTTTTTGGAAGGAGATAACCTACAGAAGGAGCTATGCAAATTATAACAGTTGTGTGAGATTGTAAACACCACAAACAAAACAAGAGATACAGCCAATGGAAGAGATTTTAGAGGTTCAACACGACCAATGACATACTAGGAGTTTGAATGTGACCCACTGGGAAAGCAAAAGAAAAAAGCTAAGACTCAGGCAAAATGAAGGAGTCTGATTTCACTTAACTCTGAGAAAAATAATCAATATTGGATTAATAGAACTTACTCGTTCTTGGATCAGTGATCTAGGGTCTAAGTCAGTAAAGTGGGAAAACAGGAAAAGTTTCAAAAACATGACCATCTAAATGCTTCATCTGTAAAATATTTCTCATTACAACCCTACCCAACAAAAAGAATGGTGCTGGTACCAGTGACTCAGGTTAGTGTTGTTGTTCTTCCCTTGCCTTCTACCTCTGCAGTCTAGGCTCAAATCTTGGCTCGGTTCACATGTGGATTGGGTTTTCAGTCTCTACCTGATTCCGTGGGTTTTACCCAGAATATACCTCTGGGGTTTTCCTCCCACCTCTAAAACTGTAACTGCTTCTCATTGTCTCCTCTCTACAGGTTTCTTCGGGCTTGTGAGCTACAGTGCCCCACTTTTGAGGAATCCTCGGTGTCATTAATTAGAAATGAATAATAACAATAAAAATTATTAAAATGCTGTTGACATCATGTCTCCATGTACCCCACCCCCTTGCTGGATGCACCCATGAACATCACATAAAAATAATCTGGACTTGCAATGCCTTGATCAGCCCGCACAGATCGTTGAAGCCATCGGCAAAGGTAACACAAAGGCTTGTCTGCCACTGTAAACCAAATCCCTCACGACACAAATATTTACGATGGCATAGAAGCCAACAATATGAACACACTTCCATTTCAAACTGATTTTTTATAAGATAAAAATAACCATTTAGTAGCAGAAGAAAACAAAGTGAAAAGTGAAAAGGTATCTCTCTCCTACTGTAGATGGTGTCTCTGGGAAAAAATTGGTGGGTAAACACTAAATGATTTCCGCAGAATATTTTGGTCATCTTCAAACTCAAACACACTCACACAGACCCAAACTCTGATCATCTCCAATTTTCTTTCCAACTACAAACCTTTTCAGCATACTCTGATGCAATCTGAGAAAAAAAATCATTATGGAAATCCTCATATTGAATAATTCAAGTTGTATTTTCAAACGCCCCCCCAAACGGAAATTAACAGATTTAAAGACCTGTTTTGTAAATTGTGACGTATTCAACGTTGAAAAATTTGACTGAAAACAGTAGGTTCACTCACCAGCACAAGGCCCACAAGTTTTCCCCGCAATGCCATTGTGCTGGGCTTAGCTGCCACCTCCACAACTGAAGATCCCACTTTAAATTCGTTGCATCCAGCAAACAAGCGAGCTGTTGCAGAACCGAATGTCGCCAGAGTTTTTACTCCCCACATCACGGCTGCTGATAAAAGCAATGAAACCATTGCGGTATCACGTGATCAAAAATAAACCACTCCCATTGGCTGCTTATAACAAATGCAGCGATCACTCCTTTGCACAAATCGCCACCAAGGTTTATACTTCGGCAGAATCTCGCGGCAACATGGTACACATGATCTAAATTATTATTTTGTTCGTTTCAACCCATGGCAACTGTTGCCATGGTAAACACAATGGAAGGTCTAACTGCTCAATTGAGAAAATGGGAAGACCTTTTGGAAGGCCAAGCTACAATATCAAAGCCCACCTGGAAATTGATTGACAGCAAAATCAATACCACCACTGATTATCTTCATGGAATAGCGTGCATTACTGTGCCCGAAATAGTACATTCAACATGGGACCAATGCAAAGTACATGTCAAAGATGGGGCAAAAAAGAGGAATTTGAGAGAAACACGGTCCTCATTCAGCCATTTAACTACAGCTTCTTAAACTTTCTCTTCCTTGATGCGGATGATGAGGCTTTCACTGGCAACTTGCATCATTTATGAAAGCACTGAGTTGCTCCGAATACTCAGTTGAAATTTTCCTCAAAGGTGAAGGCTCTGATTGACTCCACAGCCTCCAGTGCCGAACATTTCTCAATGTGTCCATAGTGCTCCCTGTTTCATGCAGTGTCTGTGCTCCTATGATGATGAAGATCTGAACGGGGGCAGACTGTAATTGTCAGGAAGTGGGACAGTACATGTGCACTGGGGCAGATCCAGGAATTTTTCGGGGGGGGGGTGTTCAGTTCGGACATGTTTTTATGTCACAGTTTTGGGAACAAGGAGAAACGATAAAACATTACATGCCATACATTATTTGCAATGGTATCGTTGCACTTACTTTAGTTACTTTTCATTGCTTTCCCCATTTATCACCCTTTTTGTCTCTCAGAGTGGGAGGGAGCGGGATTTCGACCCCCAATTCCCCCCAATCCATGCCTGGTACATTTCATTTCTTTTAAAAGGCAAGGTGATAAACACACAAAACCTGATCCTACAATTCTTCATATCAATGGATAGCACGTGGTACGTACATGTGTGTACATGTCCATACTTGTCCAAAGAGCACCTTGTATAGTGATGTTGCAACAGGTTTTCTAAAGAGCACCTCTTAGGAAAACATGTTTTCTCTGTTCAAATCAATTTTGAAGCATCCAAATCGAACACAGTGCAGGCCAAATAAATACACTGTAAGGCATGCACAAGGGTTTATCCACTACGAACACAGGGCGAGGGTGATTCCCTCGTTTTCTCTGTTTTTCTCCAAAAGATGCAATCTACATTCAGAACTCGCATCTTGACGTGAACAAAAAAAAAGTCCTTTTTAGCTTGTTATAGTTTAGCTCTGCAGACAAATGACACCGCATTCGATTTAGATGCTTACATATTCATTTGAACAGATGAAATCAGAGAAAACATGCTTTCTTTTGAAGTGCTCTTTAATGCCAGGCAAGTGTGACAGGTCATAATCTTAACAACTGACATCTCTGTGAAAAAATTGTGCCCTCATTTGGCAAGAAAACTTAAATAAATATAATCAAAATATTCTTAAAGCTTATGGCAGCATTGTCTCCAACTCTGGCAGAACAGACGAACACAAATACCAATGTAGGCAAGCACCACTAGTCTTGCTCATGATTTTACAACCAAACATTTGTTGGGTGTGACAGAAACACACAAACATGTAATAAGCCTTTTGAGTGTTAAATTTGAACAAAATCTAGTTCTTTAAATTCACACGAACAGAACAATCAACAGAACAAGTTCCTGCTTAGTTTCACGTAAGAGATGTCTTGCACCAGTACACTATTTTTAATGGATAAGAAGGGCACAGAGGAACCAGTCCATTCCAGAGATGGTGGTCACTATGCAAAAGCTTGCCCCAAATCATGAGGTATAGCAACAGTGTCCTTAGCACAACTCAGTGTTCCAGACTTTAACTCCCAAAAGGCTCAGTGAACCCTTATTTGCAAAACCTAATACACAATGAAGTGATGTCATGCCTTAGTTTCACTATGCATAATCAACTCTTCCTGACTTTTGCTATTCAGTTTACAAACATTTGAAGCATCTTCACACCTAAGGCAGTTATATCTTTCTACAAAGTTTTTATATTTAAGTATTTGAATATTGTTTTCAATTGGATTTAATATTTGGTTGAAGGAAAACCAATACCCAAATTCGCTGATGAGATAAGCAAAATAGCAAAATAAGTCCTGCAAATAGTGACTGTAGATAGGGAACAATATATAAACAGAAGTTGATGTTAAATGTTGGGTAATGAAGTATTTTGTGGAGACAACTTCTAATATTTCTTCAAGCTGTCATTAGGTCATAAAAATAAAGTCAATCGGTAAATGAGAGCAAAACTGATTTGTTGGTCTTATTAATGGGCCTGTCAATCAGCCGCCTGACGTTTCTTGTAGCACCTTTAAAAGAACTCTTTTGAAAATTAATGACACACACTTAGCAAAAATACCACTCAAGTGACTCCAGGGAATCTGCATTGCAGTATTTGCCTGTACGTCAAAAGTTGGCTACTCCAAACACGTGTACAACAAGGTATATAGCGAAAATTCAAATGTTCATCCAAAAATAAAGCCGTCTACAAGTAGTTAGCTGTGTATGTAAGGTTTCTTCATTAAAGGTTTCGTTTTTGATTGCCACTGTCATTGGTAACAGAGTCAAATTGCTAAGCATACATGTTCACGTCAACAACATGAAACCATAGCACAATGAAAAAACAAGTACTTACTTAGCACTTTTTAACAGGCTCTACAGGAAGTGCTTTCACAAAGAAAACAAAATTAAACAAGACATCAATAAACACCCGAGACAAATTCCTGGTTACCTTGGGTACTGACAAAAGAAGTGGCTTGTGGGGGATTTCAGTTAAGTCTGAACTGATATTGAGTCTCAGATGTGACGTGAATTCTCTACCATTCTTTTGAACCTGCAATGGAGAAATGCCTTGTTACCAGTAACCATTACACTGACCGTCACCTGTAAATGGGTACATCAGATGAAGAACCAAGCCCCTCTTAACCTGACTGAAGGGGAAACAAAATTGTAGGTCTGTTATTAGGAATAACAGTAAGGGACAACCAATGACATTATACGCATTTCACAACAGCGCGCCTCCAAGAGTTTGCAACGAGTTGGCCAATCACAATGCACGAAATCTGTCGACTCAATGTGCTTTGGGAAAAGGTCAACAGATTTCACGCATTTTGATCAGCCAACGCATTGCAAAATCTTGGAGGCACACTACTGTGAACTGCCCGTAATATGGGAAGCAAAAGTGCGCGAATTTGAAATCTATTAAAATGATTGCAAAACAACAATGCCCCTACAGAACCACAGAGAGAGGCCACGCAATCTTATAACGACAAATATGACCAAGATTGGGCTCTGCTCTTCATTTGAAAATACTGTTCAATACTTTATTGCTTGCTTTCCTGCACTCTACATGTAAAAATTAAAATTCACTTGTTGCTCTTGGTTATAAAATACATGTAAAACAGGTGGTAAAATTACATGACGCTTCATCTATTGTAATCAAAAATAACTCATCATGTACATAAAATACAGTAATTTCATTGTAACATCTGCGTTTAGTCTAAAAAGAATTCAGAACAGCCATATTGTCATCTACTATTAAAATTCTACATATTCTAAATCTTCTTAACGGCTCCTGGATGTATAAATCTCTTAATTAAATAGTAGCACCAATAAATTTTGGCAAATTTCTTCAGCACTTGAGAGAATGTTGCGTTAGGCTTGCAAATAATTCAGTCCAAACCCCGTAATCTGCTTGAAAACTTAGCCTCTTTTCAAGGATTTCCTGAATGCTTCTAGGAAAAGAGTTCCATATACGGACATCACCTATGCATAAACCTGTGGGACTGGCCAGAAAAATTCTAAATGTTTTCTAAGTACAGGCTTCATTATTTGCCTTCCTAAAATTCTACTTTTAAGAACATGTTATCACTTTCTGATGGCTTATAAACCACTGGAAGGGAAAATTAGCGATGTCCGTGTACGGAACTATGACTGGCTCACAGTACATGTACAATCAATTCCAACATTCATCATCAATTCCTTGTAGGTACGTTTAATTTTTTTGCATATTCTTGGAAGGCACAGTTGTTTGTTGTAGAGTTCACCAAATAATAAATACTTTATACAAACATTAAAATTATACAAACTGTTGAACAAGTTGAATTCTTTTGTCTGGACAGTGTCCACATGTGGCAAAAGAAATAACCCCTCGGATCCACCCCTTGTAGAAATGAATCAGTCCAAATCCAGGGAAAAGCATATATATGGTGGCTGGCTCACTTATGATTGGGGGGGCTGGAAGAAAACCAGCAACAGGCAATGCAGCAGAGTTCTAGTGGCACAATGGTTATTTAAGCTACCGGAACCCTGCAACACTCTATGTCAATTCACAAACATGAATGCCAGTTGGTAGCGCAAAGAGCAAGCTGCCTGTTTTAACAATGCATGAAGCATGACTATATTACTGTTTTATCAAGTGACAACAACCATCTGCCAGAGTATGCTTTTACCAAAAACTGACCATTGTGGTCAAAGAAAATAATCTGAGACCCCAAAATAATCTACAAACATGGCAAGGGGAGGGGTGGTGAATGTCATGGAGAACCCTGGGGAGTGGGGGATGCTCTAGGGAAAACTCTGCCCCCATCAGAAGTACCATCACCAAACAAGCCAACGTTAACCGTCCTAGCTTCTTTCCCGCTCGAAATGACAAATGTCTTATCTTGGGGGGCCTGACAGGACACAATGCGCAGGCACGTCTCTCGGTGAACAATTGTAATTCCACTGAATTAGTCAGGTCTCCCTTCGGTGCCATTTCAAAGCCATGCAGAAGAACCATCTTTCCAAAAAATCCATAAATGAGGAGCAATGAGTTTCCACGGAAACCTTTTGATTCTGATTACCCTCCACAATGGTTGCCATAGCAACTGAGTTTCACTTGACTTCATTCAATTTTACAATCAAATGAGGCATTGTGTTTACCCTCGCCGCCAGGGGATTCGTGTCACAATTGGGCTATCAATGAACAGACGACACCAACAGCCAGCAGGCCTACACAGTCGTGTGGCCAATTAGCCCAACCTTTCCAGTGACTAAAAAACAAACAACACTACTCCCTCAAAAAGAGGTATTTAATAAATGTTACCCCAGAAAGAAAACTACAGCTTCTGCCATCTTTCAGTGTAAAAGCAGCATGCAACACGGATTATTTCATTACTTCTGCCGAAATAAAAGTTAAAAAAAACACTTTTTGAATAGCCCAAGTGCACTTATCATATATACGTACTGCTTGTACCGGGACAAACACGTACAGTACATGATCCAATTAAATGCGAATGTGATGTGTTTCAAGCAGGGTACCTTTTTACAAAAGTATCTAATGATGGCACGTGTTCCCCTGAACCCAATAAAGTACTTGCAGTAACTTGGTGCGTGGAAAGGCATGGATTTTGATTCCTGTCACGAGTCACATACATTGCATATCTACAATTCATCGAATGAGTCAAAAATACTGCCCCACCGTGGCTCAATGTACATTGGATCAGCACTTACATGTATCTGGGATAGCTACGACTGGATTCACACATAGCAAGATGCACACAGATGAATGACAACTACATGTATGTTGGGTTAAATGAAACGGCAAGCTTTCGATATGAGGCAAATAAATCATATACTGTGAACATTTACACCAACTGAGTCAACTGTATTAGAAACCGAGACAAAAGGCATTACTTATGGTTAGATGAACTTCAACAAGACGCTGAATAAACGACTTGTTATGCAAGTAATAAAATTGTGATTTTCTTTGACATTGAGATGAAATAACAATGGCAGGATATCAACAACATCTGCAGATTGTATTGTCTTCTGTCAATGCAAAAAAGTGGAATTGGAAAAAAAAAAACTAAGCCCCCGTGTGCCACAGTTGAATTATTTAACTATCAGGTCTAGTTATGGATACACAAAATAAACATCTTATGACTCTATGAAATTAACACAGCTATTCTTGTTACAATGGGAATATTTCATTTCAGGAAGAAGAGCTAGCTAATTTATACAGTTCAAGTTTTACTTTGGTATTTTTTGGTAATTTGGAAGATAGAATGTGAAACGGAGACAGTGGACTGAAGTCATGGAATACTTCTCACACCAATCAAACATGGGAAGTGTGCACAGAAGATCATGTTGTTTTTTTCTTTTACTTCCTCTGTAGACCTTCACCGTCAACATGTGCTGGCACCTGGATACCTCTGCTGATGGGTTGGCTCTGTGCCAAGTCAATATTACCACAGGTAGCTGTCGTCCATTCAAACATAAAATGACATCATGTCTAGAATGCTCCTTCTGTTTTTTAGATGCAGCGCACACAGGTCCATTAGGTTTTTGCAGAGTCAAAGTAATGAATGTTGTGCATACATGTAGGTGGACTGGTTTTTTTTTTAATTCTGATGTGGGTAATTCCAGAAATTAGGGTCCATTTTTTTCATGTCCCTGTTACATCTAACATGATTTTGTAAGTTCAGAAGACATTTTCTAATTTCCAAGAGTGATGAATTAGAGCAAATGACCTTCCAAACATATAGTAATAGTTTGAAATCAATTCCAGTGATGCTTCAATGTCAAATAAAAAAAGGACAGACGTGGAAGGGACACTAAATGTCACACATTTGGACCCTTAATTTCTGGAATTACCCATGTACATTATTAAATTTCCTATTGTCAACTCCATTTGTCAGGGACATTACAAAATAACTGGAGGTCTTCTCTGCCCTGCAACTTAATTGAATTAAGCATGCCACGAACACACTCACGGTGCGGCAGTTGCTCTTAATTTCGAACACAAACTGCAACAGCAACAGTTGGGTGGAACGCACGCTCCTTAACCTACCGAACCGTACAGATTTTTGCCAATTGAAGGGTTCTATTATTTTCTGGGTTGTATCCCTTTGAACAAATGCGCTCGGGCAATCAACTATTGAAGGGTTTGGAAGTTTTTTAGACTGGGCACACAAGTATATGGTTCACGTTGTTGTGTCTTCAATGGGAACTTGCATCCACACATTCTGCAAAAAAAGAAACAAAGATTGGGCACCTTTTTCAAGATGTACTTTGCATCTGGGAGATGTTGATTTTTGATAACAGGCTATGCCCCTCCACCAACGTTTACAAGATTCACAACACAGTTGGCTCCGTGTTTGTCCAAGACCTTTGCAAAAAATTCACAAGCTTAATACTTGGATTGGACTCCAACCCATGACCACATGCCAATAAAGACTCTCAACACAATGACTCTGCTCAATTCTGGCAGAGTTGCACAAGCCTCAAGCTTGTACGACTGGTGGTGAGACAAGTATTTCATCATCCCCCCCTCCCAATCACCTTCACCAAATCTCCCGGGCACATACCCACCTCCCCCGTCGGCATTCATAGGCAGAAAGCGGGACCTGCCGTTGCCACGGCAACCCTGCAATAATGGAATAAAGCACCTACCTCTCGCGTGTGGCACGTCCACCGAAGCATGGACTCGTCGTCGCCATAGAAACCAGCACAGCTGACAATGGCGGGATTGCCGTCTTCCAAACTGGTAATGAGGGGAGAAGAGATAATCGTCTACATGGGCATGCCAGGGAATGAACATACAAGCACATGTACTGGTACTTTTGATCTGGTTTTTACAAACTGTAAAATGTAGATAGACATATGTACAAACTGAGGTCACATAAGAGCGGTTTGGTTGAAAGGCCATTTAGAGTGCAGGTACGCACACAACAAATTAGTGCTCAACAACAGGTACAAGGTTGCCGCTCGTACTGGATAAAAAAAAGTCCTGAAAAGACAAAGCTGCTGAACTTTGACCTTACTGTACATCCATCAATCAGGATTATATTTACTGACCTAGTTGTTTTTTTTGGAGGGTGCACAAGCATGGCATCTAGTGTTGACCCCTGAAACCAAAGGGGTGCATTCGTGCGGTTACTTCTCTTAATAAGAGTAGGATGCATGCGCATTACACTCGGGTGCGGAAGTACACTCCCCGCGCTGCGACTATGTACATGTATACTCTCGCCGACCCGCGGATCGTACTCCAGCCATTAGAGCATTAAGGAGTATACTTGAGTACACTTGTATTGCTTGTGCATGCTTCTAGTGGCAATTTTCCAAAAGTACGTCTTTCAATGCATTGTGGGAACTCAGTGTTTTGAGTGCAGAGTCTCAGTGGAGGACAAAAGCATCCCGGTCAAAAGGTCAAGTTGCCACTCAACGGTTCTCATCAGAACCACCCCACTTCTAGAAGAGATCAATTCCACATAGTCTGCTCGCAAGCTTTCCCTCAGTCTAGTTTCCAATCTTACTTACACGTACATGTAAAACCATTGCGAACAACATGGAAGAGCCGCAAGCCACTGAACCCTACAGCGACATCAACATCAACTTCAACAACCAAAAACAGCACGAAAATTATCCATCCTTAATTTTTAGTGATCCAATGAAGTGCCTTTTTGGATTTTACTGTGTCCGGGACTTCATTTTTGAAAGTTCTGTCTGGAAAAAAAAGTTGAGCGTTCTATCTGGGAAAAAAGCTGTAACCAAGAGCATCTGCAACCAAAGTTAAATGTAAACAATCAATAGGACTATCAAAGTTTGCTTGCCATTTCTGTGAGGTCCAACTTGAGTGGGCAAAACGTCAGTGGATGAAATCTATGTGACAAGGCTACGAAAGAGGGGCGAGGCTACGAAAGAGGGGCGTGGCAATTGCAATAGACAAGTCGCACCTGGGCAATACTCTATTCCAATTGCTCCCCTGTGGCAGACGGTACAGAGCTATAGCTGCCAAAACTAAAAGAGCGATCGGTGGTTTTTATCCTAGTGCTGTGCAGGAGCTGAACAACCCATTGTATTTACATGTATTGTGGTGTTTTAATGTTTCATGTCTATTCTTAATGGATTTTGCTATAAATGCATTTTTAATGTTGTATTGTGTTTTTTGTGTGTTTTTTTTTTTTTTTTTAGCAGACCAAGGACCACTTCATTTCCACCATGTATTATATATTATATGAGTGGCGAATAAACTATGTAACGTAATGTAAACTGCTGCCCACTGCGTTAAATGTCAACCTACATGTGCCGTACAGGTGTAGCTACAGGTAACATACAAACCACTCTGCCAGACAGTGCATCAACATACTGCGTGTAGTTAGAATTCTAGGATTGGGCTATTTACATGTACATGTCTATAGATTTGTGGTTGGACCAGTAACCAACAGTACATGTATGTAATGCACGTATGCAAACTTCATTTATTTATTTTTTTCTTGAGAATTTTCTTATAGTAATTCATCTATACACATAACAAAATACACAGCTGGAAATGTGATTCAGCTGCTTGTAAATGAAATGAATGTACCAGCCAGTGCATGCATGTACAATGTAGTACAGTATGTGTCCTATGCAATTTCAAGAATACACATAAATTTTTAACCCTTACCCCCTGAGGTGTATTGAAAATCATGTTGAAATTGTAGGAGTTGGGACTGTTAGGGATCTGTTGATCAATATGCAAAGCTGGCATGAACCATCCTGACACACACAGTGTACGATACACATACAACTGTTTCACACATCATGGGTAACTGAACAGAATCAAAGATGTAAAATACGGCAGGAGTGATGTAATATACAGTAAATCTCGATAAGTTGAAGCTCAGGGGAATGGACAAAAAGTTGGAGTTATCCGACGTTTGAGTTATCGAAAGTTACATGCTTCAGTGCACATGCAACCTTACCGGCTTACAGCAGTTGGCCTGTATGCTGAGTCGAACACGAAGTGGATTTTAGGCTATCCCTACTGTGCAAGTTTTCCTCAAACATCATCATTAAACATGTTTTTATGTGGTACATTAATAAACAATAAACCAATGAAGTTATGTACCGGTACCTTTGTCTACTTCTTGAGAATTCTTTCATTTGCTTTGCGTGATCGGGCTGTTACCGTATGACGCGGCGCGCGGGCCAGTCAGTCAGGGTTTCCGTGCTGGGTCACGTGATACATGTACAAAGTGCTTGAGGGCGCATCATTCGTGCCTGATTTAGGCTGCATCCGAATCTCTTGTCTAGAGCTAGGTCTTGGTATTCACTCCATTGGAAATGCATGGAGATGCCCAGACAATAGACCTAGCAGTAGCTCTGAAAGCCCGTTTCGGACAAGGCCTTTACGGTTGCGGTTGATGCCCAGTCCTCCAGTCTGAAACCAAGTCACAAGTTACTCAAATGAACTCTGACAAAAGCAGCCCCGTGCCATACTGTTACTTATGACTGGTCTCATGAAAGGACTTGTGACTGGACTTGCAAAGGGACCAGAGCAAGGACTTGCCTTGGACTCAGACACTGCTCAACAAATGATGCAGCTCATGCTAAACTGTGACAAGAACTATCGGTGATTATTTAGGTAAAGTACTAGTCAAGCACCGTACTTGACTATACCACTGACTTAAGCATTAAGTTGTTTAAGTTGAGTGTTAAGTTGAGTGGACTGGGTACTCACCTTGTCAGTACCAGACAGCGGACCTGATGATCTGAAATCTTTCTCTTGGCTTCAATATTCAGTTCATATCCAGGACGGACCTCTATCTCGGACGCATCGAACAGTGGCGGTCTGGGTCGGGATGCGTACTGCGCGTAGACTTCACTGAGCGAGTCTCTGGACAAGACTGACGGTGGTCGCAGCACTGTGGACTCGGCATCCACCAGCGACATCAGGGACATGGCGGAGGTGCTGGGCTCAGTGGCATCGGTCACGCAGATCCGCGACCCACGTCTCGTCTCGTCCCGCAGCTCCCGGCTGTAGCGGTACTGCTTGGACTTCGGGGTGGTGCCCAGGCTGAACTTCCCGAAGACAGACTGGACCTTCTCCATGGTCTTGGAGGTGCGGGGAGACAGGAGCTCCGGTTCCGGCCGCTCAGCGGACGACGCCGACGACTTCTGCCGGGTCTGCCACACCTTGCGCAGTGCCCGGGGGCTGTCTCTGGGTCCCCCCTTGTAACCCCCCTTGCGACTCCCTTTGCGGTGTTTGCGGACTGCCTTGCTGGGGCCCGGCTTGGGCTTGGACCTGTGCTCGTCATCACTGCTTGTGACTGTTCCAACTGTGTCCTGCAGTTTGGCAAGATGAGGCAGGTGATTTTTGGACTTTGTGTCAGTGTCGCTGCCCGGCTGCGACTCGGGCAACCCCTCGGAACTTTCCACGATGACAAACTCTTTCAGCGTCTGCGAGGAGGTGTCTTGGGGTTTCATCTCTTCATCATCCTCATCCCCATCACCACCACCGTCCACCTCTCCTCTGGCAGTCTCTAACGTCTCAGCCTCTGGTTGTTCCTTCTCACTCTTTTCCTTCAAACCTTTGTCCGATCCTTCCGATTCGCCAGCACTGTTGTGGTCTCCATTTTCAAGAGTCATACCAGATTTAGGCATAGATGCTTTGTCAATCTTGTAGATGGTCAAGTGTCCATCAGCAGTGCCCACCCATAAGGTGTTTTCATATGGGAGAAGTGAGGTGATCTTGGACCTGGCGTGGTTCTCATGAGGCTGAGCACAAAGAAGTATAGAAAAGCTTCTATATTTCCATGTAAATAGGTAAAATGATTAGAGGCTAGGCTAAATGATTATTAAAAGCTTATAAAAATATCAAAAGTGTCAGTAAACTACACTCGGAAGCCTTCACAAAATAAGACCATATTGGGTCATAAAGTCTGGCAACTTCCCACTCATCTGTACAGCTGTGTTTCACCTTCTTGCCCTGAGCAGGGTCAACTTTGAAACTGCCATCAAGACCTACCTAAAGTGACGGTGGCCAGGCTCGACTTTCCTTTCAGCCAGCACAATCCTGAGACAACCTCCAAAGGATTTTGAAAGCTCTACTGAGATGTGAGTTGGAGCGAGCTTGTGCTTCGCGGCGCACGTACCTTTGTATGGATTGGGGTTTGGTCCATGGATGTGTCATGAAGCAGAAGACACTGCAGCTGTCTGGGGTCCCACAGCATGACGATTGCCGAGCCCCGGACTGTGACCCACACGCCGTGGTCGCTGCGGTAAAGCCCCGAGATGTGGATGTCCGGGCACTTGGAGATCTCAAACCCGTCAGTGACATTCAAGGAACTGCAATCAACCCATCGCAAATCCTCACAACTTGACACAGCACAAACATATTGATCACTCAATCCAGTGGCGGTAGTCAGGCTACCACTTGGGTCTAAGTCTGACTCATTCTAAAAAATAACAAGTTTTTCTTTGAATTAGACCGATATAATAAGATTGTTCACAGGACAGCAACTCATGTGCTAAGGTATCAATTCACATCCACAGACTTTGATTTCAATGTGCTTGTTGAACCCCTTGTAGTACTCAAGGACACCATTTAACCCTACCCAGGGATCCACCCCCCAAGACCACCCAGATGCAGTTACAGTCTATTCGGCAGCTGTTGACTGTCCACTGCAAGAAAAACTGCATAAAACTTTACACCTGTTGCGATGTACTGCTTAGGGGAGGGTTAAGGTTTTAAACAAACCAATCATCATAAACTCGCAGGCCGATCGTGTACTGACTTGTCGAGGATGTTCACAGCGTTGCCGCAAGCGCACCAGATCTGGTCCAGCTCGGGGAGGTACAGCACACTGCGTACTGGGCCGGCGCCGATGCCGTGATAGAAGATGTCGCGAGGGCTGGCGTGACTGACACCCTGCAAGGCAACAAAATCACCACCGTGGCAAATGTCAAGGAAATGTGGATAAGCTTTACCGCATTTTTCTGGTAACTTCAACAGAGGCAGGATATCCCAGCCATCACTTAATACACAGTCAAATGCTATGAGTGCCGATTTGTAAGAGTCATTTGAATAGTATTTGCTCAACGTTTCTGATTGAAATATATTTTTAACAGTGCAACATGATATTTTTTCAACAGTGCAACATGATATTCTTCAACAAAACAATATATTTTTCAACAGTGCAACATGATTTTTTTCAATAGTGCAATATGATATTGTTCAGCAGTGCAACATTTTTCAACACTGCAACATGATTTTTTCAACACAGCAACATGACATTTACCAACAGTGCAACACATTTTTCAAGAGTGCAACATTATCTTTTTCAACATTAGACAATATTTTTCATCAGTGCAATGTGAGATTTTTCAACCACGATTATGGCCTTGAATTAGGGACGATGCCCTTTACGCCCCAAGGCTCCATGATTTGGGACTTATCTTAAAGAACAAGACATTTCGAGTACCTTAGAGAGAATGTTCGAAAATTTGAGGATTCCTTTTGAAACTGCAGACAAAATGACCACATCTGGCCAAGAAACAAAATCTTGGGAGAACTTGTTTGCCCCAAAAATGTAGTAGACAAAGCCAGGGTTTAATAGCCCAAACCATTGGCATATCAGAGGCTGTTCAATTCAAATAAATGCAGGTCTAACCTCTATGACGGCCATTGTTCCATCCGCTAATCCAATGTAAACATTCCTTGTTTGCTGATCGTGGACAATACTCAGCGGAGTATCTCTTAACCTCTCGAACCACAGCTCCTCCCTGAAGACAAAAACAATGGAAAAACAACTACTACCAGAAAGCCGATGAAAGCACTTGTATTTTCTGTTCCCAAAACTGGCCCTTATCAGCAACATCATACAACTGTTGGCAAAACAGGCCCTCAAGAATAGTGCTACCTAGCAACAGATAGTGTCCAATTCCCCCCACCTTGGACAGCATCCCCTGATAACTGGTGATTACGCACTTTTCCAACTTCGGCAGCCGGCAAATTTCAGCCAAAAAAAAAATTCTCCTACCCCGACCAACATTAGCCCATGATCACAGGGACCCTGAATAAAATTAACAGGCAGCAATGACACGGTGTACTTACTGTGTCCCAATACTGAATGCGTACAAGAAATTGGAGACAGTCCCTAAAAGTGCCATGTCTATGCCAGCCATTGTCAGGCATACAATGCGGTTGTCCAGCTGAAAGACGAAGAAAGAACGAATCAACAACAAAATTAGAATTGGCTGATATCCACTAACTCCACTGATTCTGGTCAACTAATTATTACTTGGCAGTTACCGGTAGGACTGATAAAGCACACTATCATCAATCAACATATATCCACAAGGCACACTAGCCTATTACTAGTTCATTACCAAGTGACATTGACACACTGAACTATAAGCAAGTCCTACAACTACTCTCAGCCCAGTTCCACAAATCTACTTGGTATGTTCAATAAATCGACACACTTACATGTACTTACAGATCTCATAATACACTCAGATTAGCTTTATCTTGAAAATCCACAAAATGCATTTTCTGATATCCACACACTCATCTTCAACCCGCATAACAAACATCGCACTTTCTGCTTAATCCACAAGTTGTGATCAGCATATTTGTGAAGCCTACATGCTTCCAAACTGGACAAGATCAATGACTTGTACATGTACCCTTATTCCGTAGTTCTGTTTGATGCACTTGCTGATGTTCACTCGCCCGACCCAGCCTTGCCTCAACTCCCCTCTGCAAACAAGTAAATGACCTGCAAGCCAGCACACAGAAAAAACCAAGAGCAGTGTGTGATAGTTATCCCCTTTTGTGGAAATGGTTAAGCCCAGAAGTTTCCACCAATAGTACTACCTGCCTCACTTTGGAACTAGTCTTTTGTTACTAGGGATGAGCATTATGTAATAGTCCTTGCAGCCAGCAGCCTTTTGGTAGTCAGTTGCTTTTCGGTAGCCTTGTGGTTTGTTTTGTCTCCAACAGCAGCCGCGGTTGTGTAAATTAAGGGTGATGACACTGAGTAGAATTACCATTCAGGTGCTGTACAAAAGTTGCTATTGGGAGTTGTTTTGCCAACTGGAAGGTAAAATGTGTGCTTTGGATGTGTGAGGGTGTTGGATGAATCGAGGTAGGGCAGACCAGATCAGATCTCGACAGAAGAGAGACGTGTGTGTTTGCTGTATGATCGCATGAATTTCAGCCACCAGGCGTAGCAAGCTACAGCGGGCTTTTGTTATCAGCGATCTATCGAAAGACTGCACTTCAAAATAAGTGCTTGATTTATCAAGATTTTTGTGAGCATTTTTTGTAAAACACAATGAAGAAAGAAATTCCGCAGTTTGGTCAACCAGACAACCGTAAGTGTAAATTTTGAACTTATCTGATGTTTTAAGAGTTTGAAAACTGATTTTATGGGCTTAACAAAAGTGGATTGATTTAAGAAGTTGTCAGTATTATTGTTTCAGAAGGTTAAACTGAGAACTGTCAGTTACTGGACTATACGTGTACATCGACATTTGAATTTACCAAGTTTTGCAGCAAGAAATAGTTATCAAGAGGAGCTATAAAGAGGAACTATTGAACATAAAGTGTCCTTTTGATTACTACAAAACAGTTGAACAAATTTTTTATTTGGAAAATGGGCAAATGTTTTTAATTATTAGATGACTTGATGTTGAGGGACCAAACCTGAGATACTGAGATTTATTGGGGCTCAAGCTACTCAGACCAAGGAGGACCCAACCAAGAGCTAACCAAAGAGGCCGTAGGACACCCGGAGACGGTGGTGTTTCCAAGGATCATGCCAGATTCTAACCAATTGCGGTCCCTTTTTCCTGATTACATCCAGATCCCCTACTGCAGTGAATTACAGAACTTAAAATTGTAATAACAAGAGCTGTATATTAATTTGGTATTAATTAGCAGAATAATTGCCTGCAGGTGACATAAATAAGTGAAGACTTATGTATGCTTTCATCAGCCGAAAATTACCCACTGACGAGATAGTGTAAATACTTGTAAATTTATGTAAATATATGCAGACTTTTGAGAACTAAGTAGAAAGTCTCTGGTGCTTCCTTTCGTTGTTGGGTTGTGATATATTTAGTTGCAGACAGAAGGGACGCACAGCTTGGGAAATATCCAACACAGTGGCATTTGTTGGGTTGTTAACGCTGCGTATTTTGGGCTGGCATTTTTTGTTGCATCTTGAAGATGACATTATTTGAAGGGGAAGAAAAGTCCAGGAATTTTCTCTTCGCTTCCCGCTCAGGGTTGGGGCCAGTAGTACAGTCCAGACCATCATAAGACCAGTCAAAGACAAGATGCGGGATCACACACCAGACTAGTAACAAGGCCAATCACGAGTAACAAGGTGAACATTGACAAAGAAATGCTTTTGTTTTTAACTTGAATGGCAGACTTTGAGACACTTGGTGGCTGCAGAAAAACCGCTCCATCTCAACAGTTGTGCCCATGCTCACAACTACTGAGCATGCCCAGAACTGCACATGCATGCCAACGACTGGCGAAAAGGACCAGCTTGTCAGCTGCCATCAAATGTCTTGAAGTCTTCCATTCAGAGTGGAGGTCTTGTGAGGGTCTCGAGTGGTCTCCACTACAGCACTAGCAGGGGCCGCCTTCAGCAGGAGCAGGGTCGCCGTCCTACCTGAATAGCACTCCACTGCGCAGTCCATCTTCAGGTCGTTCACCAGGGCGTCCTCCCCTTCGCGCTGGAACACGGGCATGGCGGGCGCCAGGCCCTCCTGCTTCTCAAACTCCTCCCTGGCCTTCTCCTGCTGCTCGTAGACGGCGCGCAGGACGCTCATGTAGTGCTGCTGCTTCTGCTGGATCCAGGCCGAGGACGGGAAACTGTCGTTGCTCTCCCTGACAAGCTGACGGCAGAACGTAAACTAAATGTTTGAACCACAGAGCGGTTTTAAACGACTAGAGTGTCAACTCGTCATTTCCTGCATGAAGCTTCGACACCTTCTGAGTGCTTACATCTCCAGGACATAGAGATTGAATAAATTCTGAATTCTCTACTCTAAATGCAATGCGTGAGTACAACACTCGCAAGTAACAGCACAGATACCAATTTTTATGGGATGGTCATTATTTCAGTTATTAATTTACAATCCAAACCTCTAAACACAGTCTACCAACTTAGCTATCCACTCTGCCACAATCACTGCCAAATCAAGCAGAAATCGTCGGGTGCCTGAAAGAAGGATGTAAGCGCTTACGCCCTTTTGCCAGAAAGCATGATCACTAAAAAAAAACTTTTCCCGGCAAAATGACGTATGTACGCAACTGTTTTATTTTAATAAAATATAAAGATTTCTTTACAAAAAGTAAACAAATAAAGTCCTAAATCCTTTAATAAGTTGTTCAAAGGTTGCTTTTTGAACAGCCTACGTTCATTTGTCGTAAATTTCACCCGGTTTTACTAAATAAAGAGTGTGTTTCGCCCTTTTGCCGAGAACGGTTTTTCCGCTGTCATCATGCTTCCCGGCAAGAGGTTGTAAGTGCCCTTACGACCTTTTGCCGGCACAAGACAAAATTATAGTAGGGGCGTGACAATAGACAACATACTGATAATCTCACTTTTTCTGGAAAGTTTTTTTCCAACCAGGTTTGTTTCATCCACTTTCTTTCCTCTGTACATTCACTCAGAGGATTGTAACTTCAGAGGGACAAGAAGGACCTGGTTCACTGACACCAGATCCCTCTTAATAGATGGAGGGAACCAGCTTTAATAGGGATCACTGATCAAGATCTAGCTCCTTGTGAAACGAAGAGGCCCCAAATGTTTGTTAACCACTTCGTCCGAGGTACCCAGTTTCAGGCACATAGGCTTTATACAGAAAGCTGGGGAGCCCAAAATCGGCCGTAAGGGCTGGGCCTTGTAACAAAAGACCGTATTCGGAACAAACAACTGAGCTGCTGGGAATTGCCCACATTTTTTCAATAGTCAATAGCGGAGGAAATCCGTCATTGTTTTGAAAGATTATACCACTGTTTGTGGCATTCAGCGCGAGCAGATTACCACCGGGGACAAAAGCACTCCAGCGTTCCAGTGATGAGCAATACAATACCGCTGCATGCTAATCTTACCCCTATTGAAAGACAACAGCAGCGCACTGTGCCAGTTACTGAAACAAAAGAAAATTACATAACACTGCACAATCTGGGCTCTTTTTACAAGGCGGCAGGCCTGGCTGAAATACTCGCGTGTCAACAGATGTTGTCTGTCAGATAAGAGAAGCAACCAGACAGTCACTCAACGGGGTTTAAGCTTTCAGGAAAAAAGATACGAATTTTTGAAGATTTTTGAAAACCGAAAATATTGAAAAATGGCCAAGCAAGCGACAATGCATTTTCAAAAGGCACCCGGCAGCAAGTGGTTCAAAGTGTACCAGTGAGTTGGGGTAACAGTGAAAGGTTCTGGTGGCTCGAGGACTAAAGTCCACTGACATTTTGTGAAGGCCTACACTCACATTGACTATGGCTTGAACGTCCTGCGTTAGCTTGGCCATAGACTTGGTGTCTTTCAGTATAGCTAAGATGTCCTTCTTCTCCAGCAATGAGGTTTCGTGATACTGAAGCAAAGCGATGGAGAACTGGAACAGAACTCGCAGGCCGTCGAACAGGAAACAGTCCCAGATGCGCAGCAGCATCTTCAAGGTGAAAAGTGAACACTTTAAGTTTACCTGGTAACAGAATTCTTTTGCAACCTATGCTTACCACAATACCACACCGGGGGGGCTGCCAAAACTTGTGACCTTTGAACTCTTCAATGGCACTTGGTTGTACAATTGTTACAGAAGTTACATGTCGATAAACTTCAAATGTACTACGGGAAAATGTGGCACAAAATTACACAGACAACTTGTTATCTCATGGAAAGAATTTGTCGTATTTTAAAAACGCAGATGTCCAGAGACTGTCTTGGTGTTTTCTTATGTTGTAAAAAAACTATAACAAAGTTACAAAAATTCTTGATTTGACACATCAGATTTCACTCCGATCAACGAGTCAAAATGCACTGGCATTTGTATGTTACACACTTTTTGTATGCATGTTTTCAAATTCAGAAAGATGGAGATGTGATTGTGCATACCGTGAAGGGGACCACATCAAAGAAGATGGCCAGAAACCAGTTGAGCGTGAAGGAACACATCTCAATGCCCACATCGTCCAGGTGGGCATGGAGCCGGGGTAGTCTCAATTCCAGGATGTCCTTCAGGATGTTCTGGTCGGCCTGGGCACCAATCAGGCTGCTGTCAAAGTAGTTGGCTGGAAAGTAAGACTCAACCACGGCCACCATGCACCTTTGTAAGAAAGCAAAAATCCAAAATTTTATTTTGCTTCATTTTCACTTAACCATGCTAACATAATTGATTTTTCATAAGATGGTATGGCATCCTGACACCCCTTTTGGCTGAAGACCATTAAAAGTGTTGTCTATGAAGATCTCTATGAAGCTATCTCTCAGGCACCAGATGGAATTACTATTGTCCTGTATGTGTCCTGATCCAATGAGATGACTTTGAACTTCCCTCAACCACTTTAGCATTATTAACCTTGAAGCAAATCACACTGAAGGGAAATTTGTCTGAACAATTACTTCTCTTACCTACATGGTGTCCATATTCAACAGGATGTCAAACTGAGTCATATACCCATAACAAAGAGCTGAGAATGCTCCTGATATGTATATATGACAACGTCCCTTCAGAAGTATTTTGTCGAATGAAGTCATGAGCATGTATGACAACACTTGTAAAAAGGAAGCATTGTTTTTTTACCAAAAGGCCATTTCTACATCCATGAAAAGCAGGCACGTTCCAGCGATGAAGTTCATCCCTTGACAGTAGCCCACTGTTGGGTTGTGGACACAGAACGCCTCCAGGATCTGCCGCAACTGCTTCACCTGCCGATCAAAGGGGGCACAGGTCAAGATCTGGACACCCACAGATAGCACTTGAGATTGATTAGTGAGGAGTTGTGACAGAACACTGAGGACTTGTGATTGATTTGTGAGGACATGTGATGGACTTATGAGGGCCTTATGAGGAGCTGCGGTTGACAGGCTTCATGGCTGGGAATTGATTTGATTGATTTTTGAGGGCTTCATATCGATTTGTGAGGACATGTCATGGATTTTTGAGGGCTTCAGATTGATATGTGAGGACCTATGACAGACTTTTTGAGGACTTGAAATTGATTTGTGAGGATCTGTGGAAAACTTCTGAGGACACGCGAAGACATAACACATCCTGCGCCTAGCTCAACATTTAGGCACCGTAAAAGCCTCCTTACCCCCTCAGCATCCTTGTTATTGAAGTGGATGTTGTGCGGCATGGTGCGCAAGAGATCCAGCTCTATCTGCCGCCGGTACTTGTCAACTGAGGACGACGTCCCAGTACGATTACACAGCCACTGGAAGTAATCCTCACTCTGAGGGCCACAAACAAAATCAGAATATTAATGCTAGGGGCAATCAACACACTGCAAGTGGACTTAGTGAAGAATCAATCAAGATAGTCATCCATATGCTTAACTTACCAGGAATGACTTACAAATTCCAAGTATTCGGTCATAATTATACACATTGGGATAACTGACCTTCTCCGCTTTCAGCTGCTTGACACGCTGTAAGACGAGGTGTGACCAGATCTCGCTGCGGTAGTCTGTCGGTATCCCCTCGTACACCAGCTCCCTCAACTCCTCCTGTTTACAACCACAAAAAAAACAAACAAATCTCAATTCACAGAAACTGAATACATGACTTCACCAGCACATCCCACAGCGGCCTTTGGTGCTGAGGACCACTTTATTTTACACACCCCAAGGGGGGATACAAATAGCCATTTTCCCTATGTGGTGTCCAAAACTCCATGGACCACACTGCACAGGGATCAGTCTTTTCTGCCACAGTATCAGCTCTGACATTGAAGATTCGGCATGAAAATAATGCAAATCATTTCTGAAAGGTGTGAGATACAGTAGTCGTAGTGTCATGCTATCAGGCCACCGGCAAAGATTACATGTGTACCCGGTAGCAGGGTCTGCATCAATTGGCCGGGGCCAGAAATACCAAACACTCATCCATGGGAAGTGGCACTAGCCACAAGGCAGTGGAACCCATGGATGTACATGTTGTTCCAGGTCATAGACCTCTATCATGGGGCAGCCATCTTGCGTTTCTACCATTCAAGCCAATGTAACCAAACTAAGGCTGGAAGGAAAAATAGCCTGTTCCCTTTAATTAGTATGTGAACTTATATAACTATAGCCAAGTAATCTCCAGGGAACAACACATATATATCAGGACCATGATAAAAGTCCATAGCCATAACATTACAATACAATAGTATACAAATACTGATTACTTTGAGCGGGGTAGTAAAACTACAGTAGCTTCCTGAGGTGAATCCATGAAAGCATGCTATTTTCCCGAGGCCGAGTTGGACTACACCACGAGATGAACTACTCAATATTTGTTTCATAACAGCTTTTTCTATAGATTCTGCTTAATTTATGCAATAACTGATTAATCTGATCTACATGCATACACAAGGTACATCTATTTGAATAAGAAATTTGTTGAAAAATTCTTTAAGACTTTACCAAATAACATCTTCGTGAAAAGCGCTAGCACCCCAGAATGCACACAATGTGCAAAGCAAGTACAGTAGAATGCCAGTGGTCATGCGTACAGTTCTATACTTGCTAAGCATACAGCTACTAATATGCTAAGCATACTTTGGTTGCTATGGGTATAGGTCCTTTGGCTGTGAAAAGCAACATAGCAAAAGCAGCGGATGCTGTGTGTCTAGCTCTTAACCAATCAAAACACAGGATCTGTATATGTGTATAATCTGGTGAGGTGTTATAATGCTGACTGCGTCTACACCGGCAAGCGCACACCAAAGCCAAACGGAGCATTTAGAGACCCAAGGTTGGGAGTATTACCTGTTTGAGGGTAGAGATGTTACCATTGCTCGCGCATTCTTCCCACTTTTTGTTCAGCTCTGTCGATCTCTGTATGTACGACGACAACAAAAAAATTACTCAAGGCAATGGTCTTCAGTCAGCAGAGAACGTTCATAAACGCAAACCCTTTTAATTCCAACCTTAACGGTAGTGTTTGCCCGATCATCCAGAGAATGAAGTAATGAATTGTTGAAGAATTTTGAAAATGGAAAATCCTGATAAACGCCCGTAATTGTGCCTAGCCATTTTAATTGAACCCGGCAGCAAGTGGTTATGAAGAGAACAAGGGACGTCAAGCTCAAACTACCCTTGAGGCAGCCAGGAGGTGATCCTGCAAGATCTGGCAGAGATAGTGGAGCAGCAAGGGCTGGTTCTTGGTTGGATGCTGGAAGCCGTAGATGTCGGTGTATCCCTCCACCATCACCACTCTGAAAATGAAGACGTCAACCACATTTTGAGTAAATACATTAAAATTACCCCTGTGGAATGAAATTTTACACTGACCTGGTGAAGTTATTCTGACCAAACTAAACAGGGTTAACTGAAGCCAAGTTGAGTCCAAACTAGACACAATTAATTATTTCCAACTGCAGCAAGAAATGACTGACAATATACCACGCGGCAGTCCATCACAGGTCCAATACTCCTAACGGGATTCCAACATTATTCTGAAATAAAAATTCTTTAACTTTCCAGGACTAAAATATGAACAATTTCTGTGACATTTAACATCATTTTGAAGAGAAAAGTTGATTGATATTATGAACTGGGAGACTGCCTCAGCCACTACGATGGACCAACAAACTGGCCTGTAAATTTATCATTATTCCGTTACCACATCAAAAGTGGCCCATCAGAAATAACCCTAGCACGATCTTGATTTCCTTGGCTTCTTGTCTCCTTCAACAACGAGATTCCAAGACACCCTGTGTTTTCCCAATCTTCCATGACTTCTCCTGGACATTTTTTCCAGGATTTTTCCAGGACCGTGGGCCCGCTGTTCTCAGCCGATGTCAGTTCCCATGCAATACTCCTCTGCTGGCCAAGGCGAGCGGGGGAGAGATGATTTGCCCGGAGCAGCAAACTGTGACCAGCAGATTGATTGGCCCCCCCTTGACCCATCCGCCAAAGTAAACGTTAATCTCACCTGGGGTCCGGGAGACACGGATCCTGCTGTCGAGCCTCATGGAACAGCTCCAGGAAACTCTTGAGCCTCTACAGAGATCATTTCAAATACGGGCGTTTCACAATAGCGCACCTTCCAAGAGTTTGCAACGCATTGGCCAATCTCGAAATTTGTCGACCCAATGCACGTTTGGAAAGGGTTGACAAATTTCGCGCGTTGTGATTGGCCAACACGTTGCAAACTCTTGGAGGCGCACTATTGTGAATCGCCCATATTGTGCACAGTTTTAGAGTACACATGGAGATAATCTGTAAGCTATTCAGAGCGCAAGGGTATTCCAGCTCGTGTACTCTCAGGTGAGGGTGTAATGCTGCATGCAGAATAGAGACCAACTCGAAAAATGCAGTCAGCAACCCTCTTCTGGTTGCATACATGAGTTCCGTTATTTTAACTCTTTCATGTCACAAAAACAAAGATTCCCTGAAATGGCCAGAGGCTTAGAACCCTAAAACAAATCAGTGGAGAAATATAAGAAATAGTCAATGGTGGAGAAAACTGGGTAACCTTGGCATGATTTTTCCAATTCACGTTCAAGATAACCTGGCAGAAACTGAAAAATCAATCTACAAGCCGGCCCTGGTAGGATTCGAACCCAGGACACAGAGATGGCAGGCAAAATAAAAAACACTGTTCTCCACTACCTGGCTACACTTACTGCTTCCCGCAAGGAAAGGACCTTTGCTTTTTCTATCAGACAAAGCAAATGGGACAGGAAGGTAGTCCTGTCCATGAGGAAAAATGCAACTAAAGACCAACTTCTGCAAAGACCCTTTGACGATCTGCAGGGAATGACAGACAAAATGAGAAGCAGCTTTCTTCACCTTATCCTCCCAGCTCAACGGCAGCGGGATATCATCTTTCGGATCCAAGGAGGTGACTTTGATCACTTGGCCCAGCAGCTGAAAGTAGTCTTGTTGACTCTGCAGTATGCGGCCCTCCAGGCCATCTATTAACCTGAAATTGCAAACAACAGCTTGATAAAGCAAGTGAGTAAACAAGATATTACTTTGAGCCCTTCACTCCGGGAGACGTCAACAGCCGCGGCTTTGAGTGAGGATAAGTGCATACCACACGTACATTCTATTCACCATGCACCTGCGGTTTCAATGTGGGCCAGCTGGTGGACATGGCTTTGCATACTGGGCATACCGCAGACCAGCAGTCACGGCCAAAAGAATCCCAACGTGAAGGGTTAATAAACTGCCTTTATTTACTGAATGCATCTTTGATATTGGCCGCACATAGACTATATAATCCGATTAGACACCATAGCTGTGGTGGCATTGCACTCACATGCACAATCTTCAGCTTGACGCGTGTGTGCATTAAGCAAATTGCAACACCCTATTGGACGAAGAGGCATGTAATGAGTGCGTGCCACCTGTCCACAAGCGTTGTGCCACCTGTCCACGAGCGTTGTACCACCGCAGTAATGATTCAAATTCTGGTTTTGGAATTACACTGTAACGGGGGACACTTTTGTGGAAGCTGTGACACCCGAACCAAGTTTCAACAGGGCCAATTTCACCCTTAAAATGCCAAAAGGAATGTGAAAGGCCACATTCAACGTGCAATATAGAGTGTTGAGGCAGGGTTCCAGGGGACCAAACAGAGTGAAACGCAGAGCTAACTCCTGACTCATGATAGACCTTGTGATGGATTAGACCACAACTCTGTAGGGCTGAAATTATGTATTGTACTTGCACTTGACTTACCTGTGGCTTATGTTTAACATTGGATTGACTTGTGTACCGACTCATGATGGACCTGTAGTGGACTCTACTATAATTCTGATAGGTAAGGTTTCAGGTGTTCACTTCACCTGCAACTTTTGGCCTTGAAATTTGTGACCCAACTGAAGTGAGCGAGTTGCAAGAGCTAGCTTCTTTCAAGGAAAAGACCTTCAAAAGAACCTTGCAAAGAATTAAATCGACAGGAACCTTCAACACATTTCACTCCCAGAGTGTCAATTTTCACAAGGATTCCAAAAGAAACGTCACATCAAATCAAAGAGCTAATTTTCCTCAAATTAAACACTGATACAGAGAGTATGACCTTAAGACTTGTTTTTGCGAGATCTGATCACATTTTGTGAATTGTCATACCGAGGTACATGTAAGACCTTTCAGCTCAGCAGAGCACGTTTTTTCTGATTCACAAGCAACCATCTGTCTAACACAAGGCCTACATGTCAAAGAACTTTCCTTTGCTTCACACAGAAGTCATTGGAGACTGAGACAAAACCAGAGATGGGGAGAGAGTCCCAATGCAGAGAAAAGAAAAACACGCCCAACAACTGACCTATTCTGGATGTCCAGCTTGACCTGCTCGCGCCGTCTCAGGCTGGCCTGGCGCCGGACCTCCGTGTTCAGGAAGCCGTTCTGCTCCTGGTACACCTTGCATGTGTCCTGGAGATCCAAGATTCGCTGCTGGGCTGCGTCCATGTCCTCTGGCGACAGCAGATCTCTGTCATTTTGCCCAGGAAATTTGAGACATCAATTAAGAGTTTTGTTCAATGCTTTATCACTGACAGAACACCAGCAAACCACAACAATTAATTCACCCTATGAATGGGCCAGCAAAAATACAGCTCACACAGGTGAAGCCTGTATCTTGGGATGAAAGCTAAATAACTGTTCTCAATAAGCCATTTGCGAGTTAAATTTGAATAAAATCTGGTACACTGAGTTCTTTAAATTCACGTGAACACAACAACTTGAATTCTGCATACTAAAACCACTGTTGCTATACCTCGTGATTCGGGGCAAGATTTTGCTTAGTTACATAAGAGACGCCTTGCAAAAATACACTGTTCTCAATGGATAAGAACGGCACAAAGGAACAAGTCCCATCCAGAAATGGTGGTCGCTATGCAAAAGCTTGCCCCAAATCACGAGGTATAGCAACAGTGTCTTTAGTCTGGGGAATTCAAATTGTTACGTTTCAATGCAATCAGATAACACAGTGTACCAGATTTTATTCAAATTTAACTCGCAAGTGGCTTATTCGAGGAAACCAGACCAAAAAGCAACATGCCTAGATCTAGGTATCTTTCATTACTTCTGTTTTTCACGAATCACCCGATCGCTATTGTGGTACATGTATGTGCTTTTTAAGTATGGTACAGGTCAGAATTTTAGCCGACACACAAACATGCTTAGCGTGTCAGCGTGTATCAAGTCAAACAGACACGAAAGGAGTTAACCGCAAACACGAAACACGCTGAGCCCTGCGTAACAGAGAATGCCGACCCTGGAATCCGATCTGCTGAGTATAAACATGCACACGCTACACGCAGACCCCAGAACAGCCAGGCCTTTGTTGACCAGAGCAGTCATTTTCCTGGTTTCCCGAAAAGTATTCGGTTTGACTGCAGATCAAGTTATCTTAAAATTCCACGGAAATGTTGTCAGTAGTTTACCTTGTATGTAGCAGGCATCACAAAATCATTGACGAAGACAAGGCGTTTTGTTTGTCCATACATGCAGGCAACACTTTTTAGTCTATGCCTGAATTGTTCCCCAAACTGTTGAATCAGGCACAGAAAATATTCAAGCGTGAAATCAATTTTTTGACTGAGACAATCATAACTAGCAATTTTTAATGACAAAACATTTCCTAAATTAGAGGAAAACTATTTTGTAAGAAATCCACAAAATATAAACGGGGTTTGACCTCGCCAAGCTGTCAGCCAAATTTTAGCCGAGACGGCCTCCACAGCAGCGATCCTAGCATACACACTCAAGCTCAGTGCGTTCAAAATCGCATGAATGTAAATTCAATGCGAGGTGGGGATTTTGCCCAACCTACCTAAAAAAATCGCTCTGATTGTGACAAAATTAGGACCAAACTGAACGGCAAAGATCGCACTGAAATGAAAGGAAGTCGGGTCTGCACTAGCGACTACATGCACTGGCTGCACACAACGGACAAAGTAGCGCCCATGTGAACTTCATAAATATGCATGTCTGTGATGTGAAAGGGCTGTAGCTTTGCATTTGTTGGCACTGTATCAAAACGAATATACAATACACTTGTTTCGATTTATGTACGCATGTACAGTACATGTACACGCATACAGGAAGCTGAAGCGACGGCCCTGCGAGTGCAGTGATTCACTACACTTTGTCGGGCACCTTTGCGGTCTGTGGTCACAAACCCTGCCGAGATAATGAGGTCCGGGGTCAGGCTTATCATGCATTGGACTAGCAGTGCACGGTAAAAACCGCAAAGCGTGTATTGAACAGCGTGTCAGGTTCACTGATCGTGTTAGCGTGTCAGCAAAAAATCTGACCTGTACTGTAGAGAAATCTACAGCATGCAGTCTAGGGGCTAGACCAAGATGGCCATACCTTCTTAAGTGATGAGCCTGCTCCATGATGCCCAGCTTATCGTCCAGGTGCATGATGTCCTGCTCCCGTTTCTTCAGCATCTGCTTGTAGGCCTGCTCTCGGTTCTCCAGGCTCTTGAAGTTCTTCTTGCTTTGTCTGCAAGCGGACACAAATTTGCCAACATGTGGGTAAAGGGCTTCCATTTGTTTCTTAATGCTAGGGCGGGGCTGTATGACTGAGAGTGAGTAATAACGCAGCAGGTCCGTTATCTTTGTCTTGAGCGAATGGCTCTTACTCCATGAGTTGTTTCATTTGTTGCAGCTGCTCAATCAGTGCTTCTTTGTCCAGCTGCCTCCATGTCTTGATGCTGCCACTGTCTTCAAGTGCCGCCCCATCCAACTTGGGCTCAGGACACTCCCCTTCGGTGGCCCCACGCTCTGACCTCAATATTGAAAGACAGAAAACGAAAAGGTTTCAGGATGTGCCAGTCGAGAGTTAAAAAAAAATGGAGGTGGGTGTGAGAACTTCAAGACTTGAATTACTGACATCTTTCAATAAAACAAATATTCAACAAGTAACAGGTACACATACATGTATATTGAAAGTGAGGCTGGACTTGCATGCTTGGACTGCTGAAATGGATTCTCAGAAACACAGCTTTTAACAACTTTGCCAACTTCAATGGTAATCATCACAGAAACGACTGGAAAGTGTGTCAGATTCGCCAGGGCAGCCTCACTTTCGCTCTGGCACAACATACAAAGACTGACTGCCAACCAAACATGATGCCAACCAAACAACTTTGATGTCTTTGTCATTTTTGGCACTGACAATATGAGGGGCTTATGCGACAAGAGCCACTATGGTACCTTTTAGAATCCTGCAATCTCGCGGCTGCCCACACCAAAAATTAGGTTTACGTATCGCCAGTATACTGAGTTTATTCTTTAACCCTAACCCCCTAGGCCTTTTTACCAGGAACCATCCTCAATCCTCCAAAGTCCTCCAAAATTTCTTGAAAATGTTTTTTGGAGGTCTGCCTGCTGCCTCAATCCTTCAAAATCTTCCAGCAATTCCTGTCATTATGTTGAGGCAGTGCAAAGGGCATTCTTGAGCAGTGCGGTTGATTCAAAGGAAATATCGGGCTGAATTTGTGCTTGACTAAGCAAAAACAATACAAGGTCTAATCCACGGCCTTCACGCATGGCATCCTTCATAATCAGCCATGCACTTTTGCCATTCACCCTCAATCCTCCAAAATCCTCCAAAACCGCCCAAAGGATTTTGGAGGATTGAGGAGGGTTAGGGTTAACATTATATAAATTGCAGAAAACTTCTTTACACTTCAAATGGACATATCACATTCTGGGAGGAAAATCTCTATCTACCTGTACAATTTCAAGTTCATGACAATGGAATATGGCCTGAAGCTGCTCAAGTTCCCAGAGTTCCATGAGAGCACATGAACATACCAAACATTTAGTCCATGCATGTATCATCATATGAAGCTTCATTTTTCATCGACATGCGTACAATAGATACCATGAGTGCAATACGCACAATCACTTGAACAAAACCAGAAACGACCTTCTGCAAAGTAGAAATGGATACTGAAACTAAATCTGTGGGGGGAACGCAGATTGAACACAATGCTCGGCCCGCTATATTGCCTAACAGCCAGAAATGTGAGAAATACTGCAATAGCAACATGTGACCCAACTTCAACGAAAAGCTTCTCAAATCACCAGAGCCATTTGTTGATTGCCTTTAATCCTAACCCCCTAGGCTCCTGCACAAGAAAGCACAACCCTAACCCCCTC